CGATCTTGGTTGGCGAGTGCATCGGCTGCGCCCTCGCAGCGCGACTGCCGCAGAAAATTGCGGACGCCTGGATGAATGCTGTTTTTCCCTTCCGGATCAGAATTCGGACCGATGTGGTGGTTGGTTACATATCAAGACGGAGCAATGAACTCAGATCTGGTTTCGAGGGCGCGTGGTGCTTCCCCGGTCATGAAGGACTTCGGAAGTCAATGTCGCACTTCGGCACTAAAAACAGAACGGCGTATTCAGATTTTGCGAGTGGGCAGAACGATGATGCGGGCTACAGCGCAGAAGCAAGGTTGGCACGTCGGCAGGGAACGCTGTGCTGAGGAATGTGTAGTGACGACTAATGTGTCTTCGATTTGTGGTGGGCATGATCCAGGAGGAGCTCTCATTGGAGTTCCACCTCGAGAGCTGTGTGAGCGCGAGAACCCTGGTCTGTCGGCTCAGCTTGGCATCTTGGCGAGTTGCACCTGGCGCAGTGGAAACTTCGCTGAATCGGCGCATGGCAGACGGAAGGATGCCGCCCGCGCCGCCGTCGTTCAGGACGGGGTCGCCAAGGCCCGCGACGCGCGGGTGCAGCGACGCACGGCGGAAGACGCTCCAAACATGTTAATGGAGCTAGAGTGGATTTGTGGCGATAACCAGATGCGAAAGATGACCCTGGATGGAGAAGGCCAGCAAACCTCATTATTAAGTATTCGCCAGAGACCATGGCGAGTGCGTCGCGGCGCGGATATTCCATGCGAGGTCTTTTTCGCCGTGTCCCTTCGCGTGCTTCTAGTGGTTGTTGCGGCGAGGCGAACAGAGCGCCTGCAACGCTGTTCGTGATGTATCGAGAAAGGTGTTTGCGGCGATGAGTTTGGTCGAGCAGGCAGCGCCGAGCGCTGCGCTGACCTTCGGCCAGGTCTTCCATGATACAGAGGGCCATTTCATTATTGCCCCATCGAGATCTCAACGAGGAGCCGCGGATCTTCGCGGTTGCGCATGACGGGGCCTCCGATGCGTTTCTTGAACGAGACATGGGTGGCATTCAAGTGCAAGTCCATTTCCGTCAGCGCGGCGGTCTTGTGGCGCAGAAGTGCCAGGTCGAACAACATCGCCAAGAAGTTCTCTGTCAGTGCGGCCATCATCTTGGCTTCGTGCGGTGCATGGCAAGACTCATCGCGCGTGCTGTTCTGCTTCTTCCGCGCGAAGGGCGAGTCTGCCAAGTCTTTCGAGCGCGGCCCAGATCTCGGCGGGATCGTGGGCCCTAGTAGTAAGCTCGCGTGACAGCCTGCGCCGTGGCCTCTCGGTGCTTGGGATGATGGCGCGCCCTCGACGATGCCTCCGGCATCCGATTTTCATGCACCTACCAGTTGCGCCTCAGTAGCCGCTGCCGGCAGCGCCAAGTGACCGCGCCGTGTCGCGGCAGAACCCAATGTCAGAAACGCCGCCGGCTCCACCAGCTCCGTTGACGCCTCCAGCGCCGCCGCCAGCTCTGCAGGCACCGCCAGTGGCGCCTGCCCAAATGCATGCAGTACCTCGGGCGCGGGAGGCACCAGATGCTCCCGGGACTCCACGGAGGCAGCCTGGACCGCAGATCTTGCCGCACATGCCACAGGCTCTGGTATTGCCATCATCGCCGCCAGCAGCGATGGCATCGACGATTTCAGATGGGCATTTTCCTCAGGCCGCTGATGGCGGGAGCCCCGACAGAACTCGGTCAAGGCTGTCTCGGCTTCGCTATGACGTCGGTGAGGTGAAACGGATGGCCCGTGGCAAGCCTGCCACGCTACTTATTGCGTCTGCAGTCCCTCCACCGGCGCAGGCAGAACCTCGCCAGGCACGATGATTCCAGCTTCTACGCTTCCGACGGCGCCAGCAGCGCGGCCGACGACTGCTCCGAGTGCGGTATTAGCATCTACACCTTGACAAGCAGCATTTGCAGCAGTTCCGAAGACTCCGACGTCGTCGGGGCTGGGATTTGCGACGCCAGCTGCTATGGGGCAACGGATGGGCAGCTCAGCGTTGCTGTCTCCGCCTGTTTTGATTGCGCCGTGGCCTCAAATTTATGACCTAGCGTTGTCCTGCCATTCGGAGAGCGACCAGGAGGGGCAGCGCCTTCATCCTCATCCTCATCATCTTGATCATCATCGTCGAGTGGACCCAATGCCAGCACCCTAAGCACAGCCCCCACCTGCAGCAGTGGGTGATTCTGCCCAGAAGATTGAGCAACAAGCCGGGGATCTACATGATGTGGGGGATACTGAAATGACCATCTCGTATCGTGCAGCGGATGATCTTGATAATGCTATCGAACATCAGAAAGGTTCGCTGGATGGCGCGCTTCATCGCTCATGGATCGTCTTTTCATTCTGAACGCAATGTACGACAGTAGCAATATTACCGCGCAGTAGTTTGCATGTACCATGCCGTTCACGATGTAGAACTTCTCATCCGACAGAGTCGACTGGGAGAGCCAGGGGAACTACCTTGGCAGCGCCATGGGTCTTCCTCTGTAATCCGGGGTCCTTTTCTTGCATGGCTCTGTTTGGATTGCGTTCCGAAGGATGAATCCCTTGCAGCTTTTCCAGTGGCGAGATCTTTACGCCTGACGAGGTCATTCGCCACTTGCCAGCAGTTGAAGCTGCAGATCGGAAGGGAATCGTTAGCTTCGTTCAGCTCAATATTTTCAAGTTGGCCCCTGCGTATCGGGCGACGCCGTTTATGGCGCCTGGCTTCGGAAATGGGCTATCAGAGAAGGGGCGTCGCGGAGGGCCGTTGTGGCGCCATGGGCTTCTTGAGCGACGGGGGGGCAGCGTCGACCGGCAGAGCTCCACGGCATCTCGCCTATCACGTCGACTGGCAGTCTGCTTGGGCGCGCAGTGCGACCTCGCGATCGAGGGCCTGGGCATTAGCGCGGATTCCCTGCGGGGCCATCGGTTTTCCGCGGTGAAAAAACGTTTGGCGCAACTGGGCCGCGAGATTCGGCGCGCGCGTCGAGCGCGGTCCAGACCGCCGCCGGACGCGTGGGGGCACTGGCGCGAAATGGAGGGCAGTGGCGTGTATGTCGAGGATTGCGACGTTGGCTACTTTGTGCTGGAGGTGCTGAAGGCCGAGCGTGGCCTCGGAGACGGCCCGCCTATATAGCAGTTGGGTTTTTGCGAGTGTCATCGTCAAGGGGCCGATCGTTGCGATGGCCTGCCTCGACGAGAACTTTTTCTACGTCGTGATGGGCTGGGAAATTGCGGCAGTCTAGTTCGCGCCAGTCGATGGCGTTCTCGCGAATGCAGCCTGGGAGTTTCTTAATTGTGCACGCGCCAAGCTTTTTTTTGCCTCGGCAAAGTCAAGGGGTGTACCCTGCCATTCATATTTATGTGGGAGTCATGTGCCAATGGGCCTGGGGCGCAACCCGGTGAAGCTCGAGCCCGCGACCGGCAGCAGCCGACGCCGTGTTAGACGCGGAGCGCAAGCAGTAGGCAAAGATGAACATCGCAGTTTCACATCTCCTCTTTTACAGCCTGCATTGGGTATGTCTGACGTGCGTGGGCTCGTGTGGAGCGGTGGCCCTTCAAGCAGAACAGATTCAGCCATCCATCATTCACTTGAAGTAGTGCAATCCATTGCTAGCTTGGGTAGTCAAGACTAAGACGATGACTGGAGTATTCTCCGAAGCTTCGAATGCCTCGACGCATGGTCTCGATCGCGGACGCTGGAGACGCTTCAAGTCGCTCCGGATATGACCGCACTGGGCAGTATTGTCCGAATCATGTCCGGGCGCAAGACGAGCTGCGGTTCTCAGGAATGATGGCCAGCCGACTCATTCCATGATGTTGCTGGACATGGGCGCTCCTTGAATTTCGCCGCGAAAGCGACAGCTCGAGTCAGTCACAGTATTTCTCATGCTGAGAAGAGTGCCTGTGTTGGTGGTTTGCAAGTTGCACAGCGGATTTGATCCAGAAGTGTCAGGGCACTCCTCATAGGTCTTGATCGGCAGACCGGCTGAACCATTGCAGTTGCTAGAAATGGAGCAACATAGCATATAGGTAATTCTCTGCGATAGCGTGACTGCCTGCATTGGCCGAATCGAAGATATCTCAGGCGGCCGCGGCCTGACGGCTGACAAGATCCCACCGTCACTTGTGATTCGCACTTCAGAAGCAGTGAGATGGATGCCGCACGAAGATCATATATTCGGATGAAGGCCAGTGCGGCCGCGGCCTGACGGCTGACAAGCTCCCACCGTCACTTGTGATTCGCACTTCAGAAGCAGTGAGATGGATGCCGCACGAAGATCATATATTCGGATGAAGGCCAGTGTGACCAGGCATGGCTACGACGAGCATGACCTACGAGACGGAGCGCACTACAATCGTCAAAGCTACGGTGACTGGAGTGAGGACCCCACGGAGTACGTTGATTACGACATCGCCTATTGCTTTCAGAGGACCCACGACGGCGAGAGTTCACGACACGCAGTGCGTGGACTTCAGCTTCGTCGAACTGGACCTCCTTGGCCCGGCTGAGGCCAGGACCGCTCCACGCTCTGCACCTTCGTTCCTTCGTTATTTTAAGAATGTCACAGTCGGCAGAACACTAGGAAGCACAGCAACTATAGCAATGTGCCGACATCTTTATGTCTCCTGAGCCGTAGTTCCAGCTTTTCAATAACAAAGTTATGTTTTACAGCGAACAGGAGTAAACCGTAACACCCCCAGTCGGTTCAAGGCAGAATAACCAATTCCTTCCCCTCGTCATCCCCCCCCCTTCCCCCCCTTCTTTCCCTCCTCCTCCTGCTCCCCATTCTTTTCCTCCTCTTCCCCCTCCTCGTCGTCCTCCTCCTTCTCCTCCTCCCGTTCCGCTCCTCCTCCATCCTCCTCCATCCTTCTCCTCGCCTCGGCCTCGGCCTCGGCCCTCCTCCTCCTCCTCCTCCTCCTCCTCCTCCTGCTCCTCCTCCTCCCCCTCCCTCTCTCCCCTCCTCCTCGCTCCCTCGATTCCTCCCTCGCTCTCTGCGCGAGGTACCTCATGGAGACGCAGGCGCTCTGCAGGGTGAAGACGGCGGACTTCGAGGCGCGGCAGAAGCTCCGCCAAGAGGAGCTCGACGCCATCGCGAAGGCGGCGGGGAGGGGGGCGCGCCCGTCGTGTCGGGTAGCGCACCCTTGCAGTCAGAGGCGGGCTGCAGTCAGGAACGTCAGCTTAGCGTACAGTGGAGACCCATGCCGAGAAACACCCTGCTTGCCTCCAGGGTGCCCTGGGTTTCTTGGCTTTCGATGGTTTTGCTGTGGAAGGCGTGACGTCCCCACATAAAAAATCAATGGACGTCCTGGGGTCTCAGGGTTGGGTTTCGTGTGGAAGGTCTCTTGTGGTCGGGCCCCCACGGAATCGCTCCGCCGGTTCCGGCCCACTGCGCTTGGGCGCGGCGCGCTATCCCCTTCCCAGTCTCCACGCGTCCACCCTCCCGAGCCTTTCTCCCAGCATCCCGCCCCGAGGAGCAGAGCGGCACACACCACCAGCTCGCCGGGCACAGCGTGTCTCCGGGGCTGCCGCCGCGACGCGCGAAGCAGGAGTTCCTGACCGTACACCCCGACTGTGTAGGCCGCCCAGATGGGGTCGGAGTAGATGGGGTCGGTGTGCGGCGATGCGGTTCGATGTGGGGCCCGATTCTCTCGACGCCGACGGCGCCGATGCATCACCGGCGTCGCCATTGCATCGCCGATGCGTCGCTGATACATCGGCGATGCATCGGCGATGCGGTGCGTTCTTCCGACCCCATCTGCTCGAACCCCTTTTGGGAGGCCTCCTCACACCCCGACGCCGACCCTGGACAGGCCTTGACGTGCGTACGCGTTTTTCTCGGCGAGGCCAGCGTAAGAAGATCTGGACCATCTGGGAGCGCATTGGACCGTCTTGCGAGGAGAAGCGCACGAAACAGAGACATTCACGGGGAATGGACGTCCGAGCGAAGGCAAGAGGGGGTAGATGGGAAGAAACACATACACCCCGACGCCGGCGCTTGATCTCTGGATATGCAGACGCAGTTTCATCTTTCTTCCTTCGTCGTTTTTCCTTCTTTTCCTTCTTCGTTGCCCTCTTCCCCTCCTGTCTGGAGAGTTCCTGCCTGATGTAGGCCCCCTTTTCTTAGTTGGGAAGCTGACAGTCTTCCCCATCCGAGCTGCACCTCGTTGCCTTTCCTAGCCCTCACAAAGAAACAACCCGACGCCGACTCAGCACTCGGACGGGGCTAGGACGAGGATAAGTCCGTTCCCGAGCCTTCTGGAACTCTCTCAGAACGTTCCAGAACGCTCCGAGAACGCCGCGGCGCCAGATGCATCCTCGAGAGAGTCTCGACTGATCCTGACCCGAATCTGTCCTCCGCCTGACTTTCCTAAGACCCGACGTAGCGACAAACATGCAACATCCTAACAGGTCACGCCTGGAGTCCTGGACCCCATCTACCTGCGTCACTTTCCGAGCCGGATCGATCAGTGAGGGTCCCGAGGGGGCCCGAAAGGAGGCGAAGACGCCCAGCTCGGAAATTGTGAGACGCCAGGACCACAGGGTTCGTCTCGAGGACTGGCCCAGCTCCGGGGCCAGGGTTGAGTCGGGCCTGTCCCTCTACAGGAGGAGTCTTCAAACATAGTTCAAAAATAGCCAGGGGACGATTTTTTTTGTGAACAATTTTTGATACATTTTTGGGTATGGTTTGACATTTGTTGTTTTTTCTATCCAAGCTCCCCCCTGCAGGAGAGGACAGGCCCGACCTGAGGCCAGGGGCCGGCGTGCCCCAGGGGATCCCGTCGGAGCTCCCCGCGCCCGAGGGGCCAGGGAGAGATGTGCGCCGGGCCGCCGGCTCTCTACGTTCGGCAGCCTGCGCTGGCGCCAGGCGCGGGGAGGGGGCAGAGGCGGGCGGCCGACGGGACGGGGCGGTGACCCCCCGGGGAGGGCCCACAGTCAGGGGGGAAAGAAACACACAGACACAATTAAGAGGCGATTCCCAGAGAATATGGGAAAATGTGGGAAGTGGGGGGGAAGACAGACCCCCAAAAAATATGGGAAAATGTGGGGGATGTTTTTATTTGTGTGTATTTATTTGTGTGCCCCAGTTCCCCTTCACACAGGTGCGGTGACCGCACCCTCCCTCGAAGGAGAAAATCGGTGGCGAGCGAGGGGGGGAAGCGAGAAGGGGCGGGCCTTCGCAGAAGGCTCGGAAGTCCCCCGGCCTTCTGAGAAGTTTTCTGAGCCGTCCCCGAAGACAGAAACAGCTTCTCAGAAGGCGCGAGGGCTTCTGAGAAGTCCCGCCGCCTTCTGAGAAGGCCTTCTCCCTCTCGTTTCCCCCCCACGCTCGCCGCCGAGAAAAGGCCGCATGAGCTTCGGACCCGATCACGGCCAGCTGTCATCCGTCCCACACGGTCGACGATCGGTCCGGAGCGGTCGCGATGGGTCCCGATCGCGCGCCCTTCCCCCCCTCCTTCCCTTCCCGCCTCCCCCTCTTTCCGGGCCCTCCCTCGAAGGGAGAAGAGGCGGCATGAGCCATGTTGGGCCGGGGCCGTGCTGGGCCAGGGCCATCCCGGGCCTCGGCGTGGTTATACGGGCCTTGGCCTTGGCCTCGGCCACGGGGGGCGTGTAAAGTGCACCATGGCGGCTCGGGGTCCAAGAAGGCCCTGGCCGGGATCCAGAGATGACACCAAGCGCCAAGGGCCCGAGAACAGAGAGGGCACTCGCGGAAGCGCCCTGCGGTCCGCAATCCGCTAGAAGGGGAGGAAGAGGCACAGAAGACCGAGGAGCCGACCACAGGGCCTCAAGGAGGGGGGATGGATGGCGGGATCCAAGAGTGATGGTGGTGTACGTGTGCCTTCTGCGTATTCCGGATCTCACAATAAAGGGGACGGGGTCACTGCATTCCCAGACGAGCAGTCTAAGACCCTCCCAGACCAGCCATGAAACGGCGGCCTTGTGCCCAGGCCCCGCGGGATCCTCCAAGACAGCTCCATGCAGACCCCCCCAAATCAGACCCCCCCTTTTTATTGTGAAATCCAGAGTACTTCGCTTGCCCTCCTCCTGCTCAACTCCTTCTCCGAAATAACAAAAACATTTGCACAGCCATGGTCTTCTGGAGCTCCCCGCAGGTCTCTTGGATCGGCGCGGAGCGCGCCGGGGGCGGCGCCAGAGGTGTCGCAAAGGGGGTTCAGCGCCGATGCAAGACAGCAGCGCGGAGCTACGACAGTTCATGTTCATGCCGCTTTTTCTCCTTCGACTCCATTCCAAAGTCCCCCTTCAGAAGTCTCTACGACCATTCCTCTTCATTGCGTGGTGCACAACCCTGGAAGACGAGCGACATCCTTCGAACCCGATGTGCGAAGATGTTGGACACTCGGGTTCGCAGACGTGTCCAGCTAGAGCTCCTGTTTTAAAAGGATCAGTCCTCTATCCGTGTAATTGTTCAGCATCCCTACACTTTGGTCGTGGGTCGTGGTATGCGAAGAATATCAAGAGATATCCACATATGGGAAAGGGACTGCCCTCGACCCATGTAACTACTGCCGCATGTCTGCGCCTCTGGGCACACACACACATCGAGGCCGTCGCAAACGAGAACTCGTCGAATCAGTTTTTCCACGCTTCAGCTAACCTGAACAGCCATGGCTTCCCTGGCGTTGGCTCGTATAATCAGTTCTTTCACGCTTGAGCTAACCCGGGAGGCACGATTAACCTGGCACTGGCTCGTCGAATCAGTTCCTCCCCGCTTCAGCTAACCTCGGGGTCCAGGGCTGCCCCGTCGCTGGCTCGTCGAACCAGTTTTTACACGCTGGAGCCAACCTTTGGGGCCACGGCTACCCTGGCGCTGGCTCGTAGAATCAGTTCTCCCGCGCTGGATCTAACTTGGGAGGCACGGCTGGTCGACAACGGCCAAACACCTCCCGTCGTGTTCTTGTTTTTTGTTTTTCGACGCGAGCATGTGCGGGGAAGGGGCGCTCTTGGGCCGTCCGAGACCCTTGGAGGCCGTCTTCGGGGTGGCTCGGGTCCGTCGTGGGTCGCCGGGACGGCTGTCTGATCGCTCTGGGGGCCGATCTGCGCCCCCCCCCCAACAGCGGGCCCGGCCCCGAAGCGCCCCGACAAGGTTCGGCCCGCCCCTGGGACTAAAAAGGGGACCAGGGGGGGGGGGGAGTTTTGAAAAGGTGGGCCGCCCCCGGGGCCGGGTTCGGGTTCCCCGATATATGATAGAAGTCAAGCTCCAGGACCATGCATCGCGAGGAAGTCTCAAGGGATACGCCCAGCCCGCCCTAACGACTCGCCTGGGGGTGCGATAGGGAGAAGTTATCAATAAAGGAGAAGCATGGAGGATGAGGAGAATGAAGAGAAAGGGAATTGAGGGCTCCTCCAGTCTCGGTCCTCGCGGCTGCAGGCGACCGACATCATCTCCAGCGGTTCGGTGAAGGGCTCAGGCGAGAAGCACCTCCCCCAGCTGCTGCAGCTTTCGAGCCGCGGGGCCGCGCTGGTGCGCCCGCAGAGTCGCCCGCAGAGTCGCCGTCGCCGGCGTTCGTCGCCGTCGTCGTCGTCGTCGCCGCCGCCGCCGCTGCCGCGGCCGCCGCCGCTGGCGTCGTCGTCATCGTCGTCGTCGTCGTCGTCGAGCCTCCGAAGGTC